CAAAATTATGGCCACATAACTGATCATGGTGTGCAAGACTTACAGTGGATAATGCATAAATACATTTATTAACTACGTAAAATACTTCAAATTGCTGGTAAATAGCTATGTTAAATTATTAAACATAAATATCATGTTTTCATGTTTGTATATGAACTTTACAATAAAAATGTTAAGATATTCACAGAACACCTACTCTTCTAATGAAAAGATATCCAGCAAACTACCTTAAATGTGCAAAAACATAGGACAATATCTTTTTAGACTTGGAGATCATTACATGTCAAATTTCAAACAATAAAACTTTTAGAGAAGTCAGAGGGAAATATATTAGCAACCATGGCAAAGGCAAATATTTCTTAAGTAGGACACATACAGCCCAAATCATATAAGAAACAAACCTAATAAGCTAGAGTCAATTAAAATTAAGAACTTCTATTCATCAAAAACACCATCAGGAAAATAATGAGAAAATCCACAGAGTGGTTTAATATGCAACATAAATATCCGATGATGTGCCAGTAAATGTTTAACAGCTAGTTCTCCAGAAGGAAAGATAAAGCCCTGTTTTTTAGTGTTTGCCCATATATGTGGTGTCAATACTTCTACCAGGGCAGGTTTTCAAACTACCACGCAGCTCTCCAAATTCTTGACACTAACAGTTGGTTCTGGAGAATCAGTTGAGACAGCTCCAGAATATCAGTGAATACATCCATAGAGGGTTCAATACCCATTATACAATAATAAAGGATAGGTAATCTAATAAAAAGGGTAGATAAAATAGTAGAAAGAGAGCAAAAGACTTGGAGACTTTAAAAAAGAACATCCTCATGACAAGTCATCATCATAAATATGACAAATAATCATAAAACAGGAGTGTAAATCATTAATCTTCTAGATATTCACATTTAGATATCTCTGTGTACACACTGGAATGGCTAAAATGGAGGATGAAAAATCCCCAGTATTAGTGAGTATATGGAACAACTTGAACTCTCACACCCTTTGTCAAAAAATTGATAGAATCACATTGTAAACTGTCAGTATCTAGTTAAAGCAGAACATATACATATCCTGTACACCCAGCAAAATATACACATGTGCTTCCTAAAAGACATACAACCACTATTCATAAGAGCCAAAGTCTGGAGGCAACAAATGCGTGTAAGTGGGAGAAAGGATCGATCATAACTGGATGCATTCATGCAGCTGAATAGTGCACAGAATTGAGAATAAATGATTTACCACGGCACATAACCTTACAAATGCCATGTTGAACAAAAGAAGCAAAGCTGCACCTACTATGTGACATCATTCATAGAATGTGAAAAAGGAGGCAATGTAATCCATCCTAGAAGTGAAGATAGTGCTTATGTTCCATGGGTGTAAGTCACTAAACAAGAACATTAAGGTAGGGTGAGGAACTTCAAGGTTCTGTCATGTTCTTTTCATGTTTTAATGTGAGTGTGGTTATATGGTTATGCTCATTTTGTGAGAATTCACTGAGACTGTGCACTTCAGATATGAGCAATTTTCTCTATGTATGTTATGTTCATGTAAGAATAAAACTACAGATAAATTTTTAAAAATATTTTGACATATTTTTTAAGTTGAAATAATTTATGAGAAAAGTTCATTCAGGTATATTTGTGAAATGTAGGTTACAACTTAAAAAATACTTCCTAAGGATAAAATTATAGTTCTATGCATATCCAAATAATATGTTTCATAAAAATGTCTTCCATTATCAGCAGTCCACTTAGTAGGGTAGAGTTTCCCCTTGCTTCTATACGACACTTATTTTAAGTAGTCATATATTGAATGTCTCTAAAAATGTAACAGAAGAGTATAATTTACAGTTCCCAGATATGGTTTGTTGACAAAAGTCACTTAAAACAACTTCTTCAAGCTACATTTCAATAATGCTGTATTACCCAGTCATCAAGAGTTTTAGTCAATTGGCTTGTGTTTCCAAGGGTATTATTTCCCCAAGTAGAAAATGTATATGCAAATGCCCATATTATCTGTATTTTACATATCAATTACAAGCTAAATCTTTATCACGTTTACCATTAAAAAACAGATAACCTCTGAAAATTCTCTTCTTAAAATACAACTTCATCAGTTTCACAAAACAAACCTACACTTGTTTGTATTATGTAGTAATCATTTATAAGTGTTATCTAGATTCACACTTTTCACAAAGGGTGTTGAATGCATTAACTACAGAAACTAACAAATAAATAATGCCTCAAAATAACCTTAGAAGTCACAGGTTATTTATTATCATTTCTATTGCCATGGTTACATATTTTACTTGCAACTTTCTAAAGCTCTGACTTCAAGCTATCATTGAGGAACCCATTTTGACAAATCATGACAGGTGATAAAATAAGTTTTACTTTCAATAATTCATTGCCTCTATTCATTGTCATTGAATAGACCTCGCTATAGAAATCTTAATACATAAAATTGTCATTCATGTTCAAAGAACTCTCAGGGGAATAAATCCTTACCTTTTTGAATGACACCTTCAAATTCATTTAGAAATTTATCAAAGACTTTATCAAATGATTATATTACTATAATCTACCCAAGAACATAAACATTTGCTAGAAAATGCCAGTTTGTTAACATTTAAGAAAAGTATGGTAAAGTCCACTTGATAGTGGACTGTGCAAATTTCCTTTACTGATATATTTACTGGACACTATTAAGAAGGGGAAATAAGGGGAAAAAAAACTCTAAAATTTAGCATGGTAATTATAATCTTACCATAAGCTCACAGGTTAGGAATTCAAAGAAGAAGTTCACCACCCTGAGACCTAGAAAAGTACAACCAAAAACATTTCTTATTAGTACTGGTATTATATTCTATTTTAAGCATCATAAAATGTTTAATAGTGATTCAATATTGTGAAATATTTTATTGTATAAGTAATCAGTGTACATATAATTTGACAAGTGCTTTTGACTACAATATTTGTCTGAAATAGCATTACCATTATTCAGCTCACATCAGACTTCTGTGATTTAAAATTAATTAATGTGAGGTCTTTAATACAGAGATGACAAAAAGCATAAATTTGTATTGTCTCCTTTGCTTCTTTGTGGGAGTATGACTGATGGGCATATTTGCAAGCAAAATTGTACTCTGAATATATATTTTAAAGAACCTCCTCAATTACATTCATTTAGCAGCATTTAATACACATTCCCACATACATATACATATGCTATCATTGTGTAGTACACACATTTACCAATGTCATTAAAACTGTCAGTATCTAGTTAAAGCAGAACATATACATATCCTGTACACCCAGCAAAATATACACATGTGCTTCCTAAAAGACATACAACCACTATTCATAAGAGCCAAAGTCTGGAGGCAACAAATGCGTGTAAGTGGGAGAAAGGATCGATCATAACTGGATGCATTCACGCAGCTGAATAGTGCACAGAATTGAGAATAAATGATTTACCACGGCACATAACCTTACAAATGCCATGTTGAACAAAAGAAGCAAAGCTGCACCTACTATGTGACATCATTCATAGAATGTGAAAAAGGAGGCAATGTAATCCATCCTAGAAGTGAAGATAGTGCTTATGTTCCATGGGTGTAAGTCACTAAACAAGAACATTAAGGTAGGGTGAGGAACTTCAAGGTTCTGTCATGTTCTTTTCATGTTTTAATGTGAGTGTGGTTATATGGTTATGCTCATTTTGTGAGAATTCACTGAGACTGTGCACTTCAGATATGAGCAATTTTCTCTATGTATGTTATGTTCATGTAAGAATAAAACTACAGATAAATTTTTAAAAATATTTTGACATATTTTTTAAGTTGAAATAATTTATGAGAAAAGTTCATTCAGGTATATTTGTGAAATGTAGGTTACAACTTAAAAAATACTTCCTAAGGATAAAATTATAGTTCTATGCATATCCAAATAATATGTTTCATAAAAATGTCTTCCATTATCAGCAGTCCACTTACTAGGGTAGAGTTTCCCCTTGCTTCTACACGACACTTATTTTAAGTAGTCATATATTGAATGTCTCTAAAAATGTAACAGAAGAGTATAATTTACAGTTCCCAGATATGGTTTGTTGACAAAAGTCACTTAAAACAACTTCTTCAAGCTACATTTCAATAATGTTGTATTACCCAGTCATCAAGAGTTTTAGTCAATTGGCTTGTGTTTCCAAGGGTATTATTTCCCCAAGTAGAAAATGTATATGCAAATGCCCATATTATCTGTATTTTACATATCAATTACAAGCTAAATCTTTATCACGTTTACCATTAAAAAACAGATAACCTCTGAAAATTCTCTTCTTAAAATACAACTTCATCAGTTTCACAAAACAAACCTACACTTGTTTGTATTATGTAGTAATCATTTATAAGTGTTATCTAGATTCACACTTTTCACAAAGGGTGTTGAATGCATTAACTACAGAAACTAACAAATAAATAATGCCTCAAAATAACCTTAGAAGTCACAGGTTATTTATTATCATTTCTATTGCCATGGTTACATATTTTACTTGCAACTTTCTAAAGCTCTGACTTCAAGCTATCATTGAGGAACCCATTTTGACAAATCATGACAGGTGATAAAATAAGTTTTACTTTCAATAATTCATTGCCTCTATTCATTGTCATTGAATAGACCTCGCTATAGAAATCTTAATATATAAAATTGTCATTCATGTTCAAAGAACTCTCAGGGGAATAAATCCTTACCTTTTTGAATGACACCTTCAAATTCATTTAGAAATTTATCAAAGACTTTATCAAATGATTATATTACTATAATCTACCCAAGAACATAAACTTTTGCTAGAAAATGCCAGTTTGTTAACATTTAAGAAAAGTATGGTAAAGTCCACTTGATAGTGGACTGTGCAAATTTCCTTTACTGATATATTTACTGGACACTATTAAGAAGGGGAAATAAGGGGAAAAAAAACTCTAAAATTTAGCATGGTAATTATAATCTTACCATAAGCTCACAGGTTAGGAATTCAAAGAAGAAGTTCACCACCCTGAGACCTAGAAAAGTACAACCAAAAACATTTCTTATTAGTACTGGTATTATATTCTATTTTAAGCATCATAAAATGTTTAATAGTGATTCAATATTGTGAAATATTTTATTGTATAAGTAATCAGTGTACATATAATTTGACAAGTGCTTTTGACTACAATATTTGTCTGAAATAGCATTACCATTATTCAGCTCACATCAGACTTCTGTGATTTAAAATTAATTAATGTGAGGTCTTTAATACAGAGATGACAAAAAGCATAAATTTGTATTGTCTCCTTTGCTTCTTTGTGGGAGTATGACTGATGGGCATATTTGCAAGCAAAATTGTACTCTGAATATATATTTTAAAGAACCTCCTCAATTACATTCATTTAGCAGCATTTAATACACATTCCCACATACATATACATATGCTATCATTGTGTAGTACACACATTTACCAATGTCATTATACTGTAATCCTATTTTTTCTTTTCTTTTAGTCTGTTTTAATCTGTGGATAATACATAACTCTGCACAAATATAAATATCATTTTAAGGCTGCATAGTACTCTACAGTTTATTATACATTTAAAATTATTTAAGATATTTAACAATAATACTATATAATACTAGTTAATCTTATTGTCTTTAAATTCAAACATTCGGTTATCATCATGTGATCATATTTAATAGTTAATGTGCTTTTCAAGAGATGTAAGGGCAACTCACTAATCAATGCATTTGTTAAGCTCCTGATTATATTTATTTCTATGTAGGTGATGTTCTTTACCAGTAAAAAAGTAAACTGAAGTTTTAATTTCTACCCTCAATGAATAAATAAGAACCCTTTAGAAAACTCATGGATAACTTACATATAGGCAGTAAGATATGTTTTTCTCAGAGGTCAATACATTAAATTACTACAACTGTTTCTACTGTAATTGAAGGAAACATTACATAATACAGTTTACCTGACAAAGGAATTACATTTAACTCTTAGGAGTGATTATCATGTGTGAAAATGATTCTGACACTAAAAAGCAGAACTTGAAGAGTGAAATAACATGTTTCTAATATTCTCCTGATGAAATGTTAGCAGAAACCAAAATACCACTATCACTGAAGTATAAATGTTTCCATTAAAATGTATTGTTCTTATTCTGCAAATTGAAATGTAGGTGTAGTATGAACTCTAATAATAAATGCTCAGACTTTCTTGGTTAAAGTCACTGAACTAATTGGTGGTAGACACTTGACTGTAGTCTGTCTCTCTGACTATCAATCCATTGTTTCATTCAAGTTAGTGGCCACTGCTCCAGGTCTCCTGTCCCCATGTTGGTAGACACTGTTTACTAGGCCCTCCACATACATCTCTATTGCCATTCCTTTTACAAATCCCAGTGCACATGGATTAACTTTGTGGACCTCCCAGGCTCATTCTCCTATTGCTTTCTGTTGACATTTTCCCTGCAGAAGGAAGGAGTGAGAAGATCCCTACAGAAGATCTACTTCCTATTGATATCTGGAAAGGAAGAAGACCTCTGCAAGAATCCAGTGTGATAGGAATGCTTATACTTCAGAAACTCTATCAAGGAATTAGTGCAACCTGCTCCACTGCTCTTCTTTTTATCAAGAGGTACATAAGTTAAATTTGGGGTAAATGTTAAAATTTGAGTGTTAGAATTAACATTTGGCTGAAGCCAAATATTATCATTGTGAAATGAATTCCTTGGATTCATCAATTAATTTTTTAATTGTTATAACAATTTTACTATTAAAGTCAAGCTTAAGGTTTGCCATAATGATGCAGAAACAATAATTTCTTTTAGCACTAGATGCTAGGTTACTCCTGCAGGCACTGTGTTGCATAGTTACACTAAATTGGTATTTAAAGTGAATAAAATTTCAACCAAAAAAGCACATCCTCCAGTTACATCTAGATTGCTTACCTAAGTCTAAACACAAATATTCAGATATTAACAATAAATCCAAAGAGCATTCTTGTTCCTATAACAGGCATTGGTATAGTGATTAGATATGTTGGACACCCTGACTTAAGTCACTATGCCTGTTTAAATTCTGGGATTCCAGAATTGATAGTGAATGCATTAGGTTAGGTGGTCTTCAAAGCCAAAGTCTTGCCAGAGGAGGGCTTTTAGATATATGAGGCCAAAGCAGATAGATGGCATACCCCAACTAGAATCCACCTTTTTCAATGACTTATGTGACCTGACTGAAGCAAGGATACTGAGTACCAGGACACATTTAAAGAGGACAGAGTTTCACCATGACATGCTTAAGAAAACTATTATTAGAGTAGAATTTAGTAAGATTAATTACTAAACTGTCGATGACACTGGCACTGGATTAGGGTTTTATCCTTCATGCATGTCAGGAAATTTTATTTCATATGATGATTATAGTGAAATGAATTTGATCAGATAAATTTTTTGCATTTGTATTAATTTTTGAAGGAATACCATTCAGAAAGAGCTCATGTTAAGCCAAATATGCAGACCTAGGAAAAAAATTATTGGCAATTCTGGGATTCTAGGATTCTAAACATAGCATATCAAAGAAGAAAATGCTTCAGAGAAATGTTTATATATCTCTTGGCATGTGCATGCCAAGTTACTGTATAAATCTTCAAAAGTTGTACTTGAATAAGAATTTCTATAATTTATTAATATCATTAATGAATGGATTTTTTGATATATGATCCATAATTTGGAGAAATTCACAGAATTGTCACTTCAAATGGTGACTACTGTGATATTAAAAAGAATTAGAAAGATTTATCTCTTCTTGGCTTAATTTTTCAGGGGTTTCAATTTTTTCAAGGAAGTTGGAGGAGGTTGTATTTTTAAATGATGTGGAAACCTAAAAATTGTAAAATTATTTAAAATAATTAAATAATTTAAGTGAATAATCTTAAAGACAGTTTGGTGGGTTTAGAAAAATAATATTTAATCATCAAAGGGTAAATAGTATAGTGTTAGGATTTCCATGCTTTATCTCATGTGTGTAACTGATACTCACAAGTCTTTAGAGATTATTTTCCACATTTTCACATAAGAAATTAGAAGCTAACAGTTGCCTGAGTAAACTCCAAAATGTCTTGCTGTTAATACATTGCAGAGGCAAAATTTTAACCTAAGTTTAATTAAATTCATAGTCTCAATTAAATAATAAACTAGAGAAGGGCAATATTAATAGGTAACATTTACTGAATATGTATCATATGTTGGGACCAGTCTAAGTATTTTGTATGTATCAACCCATGTAATTCTCCCTACTGTAATTCCACTTTACAGATGAACCAAACTAAGCTGTGAGGAAGTTGTCCTTATATCCTTGCAAGTTATATTTCCATGAATATATATGAATTATTTTTTCAGGATTAGGGGTCATGCAGTTATGCATTTATTACGTGTCTATTATCACCTTGGTTGTTTGATCCTAAGTAACAACAATTGTTAACATTTATTAAATGTCTACTAGATGTCACGGAATACGTTTAGTGTTCTAAATTCATTCCATTTAATCTCTACAGCAATCCATCCAGGTATTATGACCATCTTTATTGTATAGGTAAGAAAATTGAATGGAAAGGTTAATTGATGTGCCCAAGAACACAAAGTTAGTAAAAGGTGTAGCTGAGTTTCAAACACAAACCCTTACCCTATTAGTTACTTTAGCATAGAGATTCTGATTCTTTAATGGGGAGGCAGTGTGATATAAATTAGGGGCTTCCATTTTAGCCCATATAGAAATTTAAAACTTCAACTTCACAAAGCAAATATGACTATCGCTTCAACATTTGAAAATAAATCCAAGAGTAAATAAAACACTTCTAGTCTTGCAACTCCAATATATTATGAATAATTTTAGATAGTGACAGCCCCACAGTTCCTAGCTCATTAAATGCTAAGTACTAAAAACTATGCATTATTTATCAGGCATACCGATTTCTAGAATTGTCTGCCAATAACTTTTAGAATACATAAGATTTTACAAAACACATACATTTTATGTAACACAGGCACAGTTTTGGAATAGGTTATCAGAAATCCTTTCTTAGAAAATCAGACAGCCTTCCTACCCATTTAGAAAAGCGCAAATAATGTGTTTAAAAAAATATATAAACACTTCTTGCAAGACTGTCAAGCTTATCTCTGAAACACAATTTTTATTATAATTATAGGCAACATGTTTGGGGGTTAGGGAATAGACTCTTTCAGTGAAACTGGGCATATTATTAACTCTCCGTAAATAACTAATGAATATATAAATGCTTTAATAGAGACATAATCACTAGATAGGCCCTTAGGACAAAAACCACCTTGTGTTTATGTATTAGATTTCACCTCAGCTTGGTAATATCCAAACTTTCTCAATGTCTTACTAAATACTTAGATTGCACCTTTCAAAGCAGATCCTAAACCCTGAGAAAGTTAGAGTGACAGATAATGATGAATTTTGAGACTATCAACACATTCTGTGATTAGATAATTTATATAAATCTGTGATGTAACTATACATGATGCATGATATATATGTGTGTTTGTGTGTGTGTATAACTAGTGTTAGTTTGATAATTAACTTTTTCAACAAATATTTATTGAACAACTATGTATCAAGCACTACTATATCAGAATGCAAAGTTAAAGTGATGAATAAAACAAATATGTTCTTCTCTCATAGATTTTATATCCTTGTTTCTTATGTTTATTTAATGATTTTATACTTTATTGCCACTATCAAAAGCCACTAGACATTCTGCCTTACAGTCTACAATCTTTTGTAAGGATTGCCTTTTAGGTGTTCCCAACTCTAGCTTAACAAGGTTTCATAATTTCAAATGGGTTTAACACCATGACAGAAACTTCTAGTTATCACACCACAACTATTTTACTATATTTTATAACAAAACCACTGATTTTTAGTTAGATTGGTGACTACTTGGAATAAAACTGATGCTTGATGCCATGAGGCTAAGTTCTGACAAACGCATGCATAC